TATATATATATATATATATATATATACACACACACACATATATACACACGGTACATATACACACATATATACAAATACTATTTTTTTAATTTTATTTTACCACTACATATAACAGTGCAGGTCAGCATGGTGGTAAATTCATTAGCACGTTCGCCTCACTGTGTAGCGATGCAGAGTTCGATTCCGGCTCTGGCCTTCCCGTGTGGTGTCTGCATGTTCTCCCCGTGCCTGCATGGGATTTCTCCGGGGACTCCAGTTTCCTCCCACATTCCAAAAAACATGTGTGGCAGGTTAATGGAGCACTCTGAATTGTCCCAGGTGTGATTGCGAGTGTGAATGGTTTTTTGTCTATGTGCACCTGCGATTGTCTGGCAACCAGTTCAGAGTGGAGCTGGCCTTCTGCCCGGTCAGCTCGGATAGGCTCAAGCATGCCCGCAACCCTGGTGAGGATAAGCGGGTTAGAAAATGGATGGACATAGCAGTGCTACACAATGACAGCTTCTTAAAACAACAGAATATACAGTTTTATAAAAGATATTAAATCAATATTTAGCACAGTTGAGTAGCATGACCCATTTGAAAAATGAATTGCCCACCTCTGACTTGCAGTATGGGACCCTGTAATCAGATGGCTTACTTAGCACACTTCTCTATGACTGCCCGTTGGTCTCCATCCTGTTTCTGCACCACGGATTGCTTTCACATAAGGACATATTTTAACGGAGACTCGAAATTGCAAGTTGCAGCTCCGCAACGCAGAGATAATTGTCTTGCCGCTGGGCCTCCTACAAACGCATTGGGCCATCATTTCCCCGTGAGTGTAGCTGTTAGCGGGTAGCCAGACTAGTCAAGCCAAAACAAGTAATGTTGTACTTGCTTTTATATTTGAAGTTTCCCCTCAGAAGCACTCGTGACGCCTCACATGACTTCAAATTGAGGCTAGCTGGCCTGACCTATTCTTAGTGAGCAAAGGCAAGGTGACGGACTTGAACTGGAGTGCAATATTCAGTGTCCAGTCCTCATGCGCACTGGTGCTCCCCAGATTATAATATGATATATTGTAATGTTCGACATTGTGATCGTGTGAAGGGGTAACAAAAAACACTATTTCCTCAAATCGTGGCCATCCTTGTAATCGATGCCGTTTCCAATTAGTCACCATGCGTATTATCCACTTGAATGAATTAGCACTTCCCTCAGTGAGACGCCTCCCTTTTCTGGAAAAAAATAAAGGTAATGATCTCAGTGAGGAAGTTATTATTCACTGACAAACATTAACGGCACAACTGAGGAGTTTCTACTATAGTCATATTTTTTTATGTTGATATTTCCTGTATTTTTTATGTTTTAATTTCCTGAATGTTATATTTTGAATGGATGGTCTCTTTGGGTGCTTTCAAGATGAGATAGGGTGCCATTCTTAATCATTTCGCTGCCTTTGTCAAAAATAGTAACGCATCAAGTTAACGTGTCAGTATACGTATGTCAAGTTTCACTTGCACATGCACTTTAATTTGCTGGTGATGTTGTTTCATGCTATTCCAAAATTGGATTTGTACAGATAAAACATGCACAAATCCTTGTAGCACACTTTTTTATGTGGATTACCGTAGTGTGAAAAAGGAATTAAATTCATTTTTGGGTTCTGTTCCATCACTGCAGATACTCATGTGGATATTGGGGTTTTTGTTTTTACATAGCAGCATCACAAGAGCACTTCTATTGTTTGAGGCGTAAAACTCTTCTTGCGGCTTTCTGCTGATTGCTTGTCATTAAGGAGTTCTGTCAACAGTTGAGTGTTCAAAACAGCGTTGCGACTGCGTGGGCATCTTACTTGTGTTTCTGATTCAGATTCGGAGACGGAGGAAGAGGAGGTGGAGCATGTGGACGCTCCCGACACAGGGGTGAAAGGTCATCGTTCCACCCGCGAGGTGGAGGATCACCCTCCCGTGAATGATTACGTAAGTGTGCTGTGACATCCGAGGAACCTACCGCAAGTTACAGTCAAGTCACTTCAATTAGCTGCGTCTCCGGCTCCACTTTGTCCGCATATAAATCGCTCACTAATTGATGTTAAAACTGACTTTGTGCACCAGAGGGCACAGCAATTGCTCGACGTATCTGTTTAAGCAAGGCCAGTTCTTTGAAGAGTCTCTTAATGTCCCTCCATTAATTGAGAGAAACATCCAGCCTCTCCAAGGCAGCAAACTGTGCCTAAAGTGCCTCTTTGTGCCTTTTCTCACTTTGCAGAGCAACGCACGACGCAAAGAGCACGCTCAAGGTCGCTCGCTACTGCGCAGATAAGTTACATTGATCAACAACGCTTTAATTATCAAAGCGTACAACATGAAGGGGGAAAGATTGACGGCGTATTTTCCTGCGTCGCATCTAAACCGCTCAGCAGTGCAGGATTAATTATCCATGACTGTGTGAGAAAAATATTTTGGGCACTGACATAAAGGAAAGCACACTACAAACCATAATTACGGAACACACGCAACACACCACATTTATCACTTACACGCAAATGGTCACGAAAGCGGAGGCGCTGTCTTTTCAGAGCAGTGTGACACATGGGCAGAAACAGGACTTGCTCTAATGGTCACATTTTTCAGGCCCGTCCCAGAAACACTTCTCAACACTCCTTGACGCTTATTTGTGAGAACAATATGTGCCTTGTAGGAACAAGTTAAGGACAACCATATTTGGTCAAACAGTGCCAAAGGGCTCTTTATTAATTCACCTGCAGCAATAGGTGTCGATGGGGGAGGACTACAGCGGGACATTTCATTTTGGGGGATCAAATAACTTCTTACACAAAATCAATCATGATGACTCTTTCAAATAATCTCCAGTACAGTATATAACAACTTTATGGAGCAAATATATGAGGATACATACAGTAATGTTCTATTTGGTGTTATGTCCTGCATCTCTAACTGTTGGGTAGATGTCAATTGTGCTTTGCAGAAACTGGTAAAAATAAAATAGCTATTTTATAATTAAAAAGAATACTCATTAGTCATTGCCAACACCGAATATTGCAGCGTTGCACTGAACTGAGTTTTAGTGAGAGACTTGGGCTTGTGTTTCCCCTGATCATCTTTGGCATTTTTGGTGGCAGGTTGACAACTGCTGTGATCGAGCTCTTTTGTTTTCTTGCATGGATGCTACTTTTTAAATCTATTTTAAAAATCTCACATAGCCCCTGAAGTTCCTTAATAATCGTTCTCTGAAAACTCGCAATTTTTTTTTTATTCACTTCACGTCTTAAGGTTGCCTCTCCAGTAACCTCGGAGAGTGGAAACGTTCGGTCAACTATTTGGACAAAAAAAAGAAACGCGAACGATTGTCGCCCAAATTTATGTGAACATGGGTAAAATACACAATAATCATAGTACCAGAACGAAACACAATATTTTGAATGGTCTTAACATTGTAAGTGTTGCCCCATTAATATGCAAAGCTTCCAACATGTTCGGTTTTGTCTTACCCTCCATGGCAGAGGCGCTGTCGAACCCCTGAGACCGATTCACCGAACCCCTGGGGTTCGATCGAACCCAGGTTAAGAACCACTGCTCTAAAAGTTCAAATTTTTGTCTAGTTATTTTTAAAAAGTACTCTATTATTGAATGAAAGCAAAGATCAAAACGTGTTTTCTGGCTTAATTATTTATTGAAGAAATAAAAATATAAATATCCATCCATCTATCCATCCATCCATCCATCCATCTTCTTCAGCTTCAGCTCAGTCAGGTAGAAATATTTTCCTTGAAAACAAAAAAAGATAGTTTTAGGAATAACTATTTAAATTTTCACAATTAATCTATGAGGTTGGATACATCGAAAAATGAATAATACTGACTCAGGTGTACTTCACAGTCCTCTGACCATGCTTCTCCATTCTGCTTTTTCCCTGTGGAGAAAATAGTTATGGGTAGTTGTTGGTGCGTTTTTTTTTTTTTTTTCTGGCGTGAGAACATTCGAAGAAACAGGCATGCCATTTTCAGTTATATTTGAGAACGGGTTCTTCATTAGCGAATCAGACAGCAGAACACAATAACCTTTCATATGCTGTAAAAAAAATTAATAATAATAATTGAAACATGCCGTAATCTCCAATTTACCTACGTGAATGAAGTATTAAAGTCATAATTACTGGAGATGTTTGTATGAAAAACACTTGAAGGCATAAATATAAAACAATCCAAATGAAAAACAAATGCCAGTAATTGCATGCCTTCCTTTTCCAACAAAATCCGACTTAAGTCTTTTTAAAATAATAAGGTTAATGATGTCCACACAATCCAACGGTAAAGCACCGAAAAACAACATCCCGCACGATCTGCTGCAGGTAAGGTTTCTCAGTGCAAGACTCTAATGGGCAAAAGAAGTCAACATTTGAGTGCGGCTTCTCCACCCAGAGCACATTTGTAAGGTATAATACCCATTTGGGTCCTTGCGACAGGCTGTCAGATATACGGCGATGACCTTTCACACAGGTGCACGTGCATCACACACTCTGTGGCCCAAACGGAATAACTTCCACAACACGAGGCTGATGCGATGGTGCCACTGTCATTGACCTGTACCGCAAGGATATGCTCACAAAATGGGCAACAACTCCCCCACTGCCAAAAAAAAAAAAAACTGCAGAATTTGTTGTCACGGTTTTAAAAAAGAAAACCACCAAGCTGTACAAAAATACATACGTATTGTAGTATTCGTGGCCGAGTGAGTGACATCAGGGGCTGCAGTCGGATTGGCCGAGTTTGTCTGAGTTTAGGCCTGCAGCTCGCCCTTGCAAGTTTTCTCATATTGTACTTGTGTCTTTGATTATTTGTCCCGTTCAATAAATGGCTGAAACTGTCTTGCCCTCATGCTAGGACATTATAACTTCGTTTCAGGACACGCCCACAATAAGTGAAATTCGCAACACTGTAAAAAATCCAGTCAAATACTCTCTAGGCATGTTTTTACAGCAATCATGGCACTTATTTTTTTAAACTCTTTAAACAAACAAATAATGCAAAATCATTTAAGCACATTTCATTTATTGAGAGTGAGCCAGGGCAATAGATAACACAAAAATATCGTCCAGTAGACTGAACTACTGTACCACTCACTCTGTTGACAGTTCTATAAACAATCCAGATTTTTTTCCAAGCTAACAAACTTAATTTATCGTCGCACAATCTACGTCAATAACCATTCCCAAAGGTGCACATTGTCAAATGAACCTGCATGTGATCGCATTTAACTCTTTCATTCCACAAGACGTACTTCTACGTCTTTTTAAAATTAGGCCCTGCCTACCAAGGACGTACTTGTACGTCTAAGTCTTTTTTTTGCGTCATAGAGAGGAGGAGGGTCTGGTGCAATCTGTGAATGAGAATAAGACGTTTGCATTGTAAATCATGTAAAAAAGCTACCAGTAGGTGGCAGTGGTGCCTCACATGCTTGAAATGCATGCTTTTACAAAAAGCTCTTTTTCTCCGTTTTTTTCTGTCCAGGAATCGCCATTTTCATGAAATTTAGCCATTTTGTAATGCCGATTGCTGAAGAATGGAAAAAGATAGAAACATTTTTTTCCTGCTGAAAGAAGAGAGTCCAAACTTTATTTTGGTGGGTCCATGTTTATATAGCATTAGAACCAAATATTCTGTGGGCCTTGCAAGATCAGTCAAAATCCAGTAAAACGCTGGGATTGAGGGGGTTGCTCCAGTGAAAATGGCTGGGATTGAATGAGTTAAAAACAGGATTACTGATGATGACATTGAATTGGAAAACTAGGCTGCACCGATGATTTACAGGTTAGATTTGTTCTGAAAGTCAGCTGTAACGATTGAAATCCATCGGTGCAGCACGCACTCGTAGAAATCTTTACAGTAGCACCAAAGCTGCTTATCGCTAGAGAGTTTAGCCAGATGAAAAGCTTTCGCCTTCTTCAATTACATCCACCTTGGCGAGACGCTGATCTAAGATCGGGCGTTGTGACATAATGCTTCACAAAAGCAGGAAATAGGCATGAACATTAGCCCGCATGTTTTTGATGCGAGATTGAATGTGACGCAGTTTCATTTCTCGTCCCTTAATGTGTTGTTTAGATGAACCCTAACAATCGTCCCATCACTTTATGTCCTGCAGTTTGGTTCTTATCATTTTAGGACAAGGAGGAAATCGAGGAGATCATCAAATTCTCAATTCATATTCAATATTATGCTGACCGTGGGTATTCAAAAGACGGCTTGGTGGCAGTGGTGTCTCTTTTCATTACTGACTTGGCGTGCATACGACAAGTGGCTGAGTCGGTCGGGTAAGGTGGTAACGGGAACAGACCGTTATTCTCGTTGCTGTGGGACTTCGTGTTGTTGATAGGGTGGTCATTGCGCCCATTGTTTTCTCATCCCTCCCTGGTCGTTCAACCCCTCTATCTTGTTTTCTGTCTACGCTCTGTCCCTCTACCCTATGTCTGCGGCTCCACACAAAACAAGCAAAGACAGACAAAGCCTGTTTTCTGTTCAACGATTCCTCTATTGAGGGACTTTTTGCCCTTTTTTCTTGACCTGCTGAATGTATAAAGTCCTTTGAAATAACTTCTGCTGTCCGTCGGTGTTACTTTAATGAAACGGACTTGCTTTCATTCACTTTCGCAGTAGGTATCTCCATGAAATTTGTCGAAAACCCACAGGAAATACTTTCCTCTCATTAAATGGCTGGCAGTTTTTGGAGGTGTATGACTAGGGAAGGCTTACACGTGAGCTCAAGTCACACGGAGCAAAGAAAGCTCATGGTTTTCACTCTTCATTAACGCTGCTTGTTTGGGAGCGACTGCCTCAGATTTCCCAAGGTGAGCCATTCTTATCGCCGCAGTGTTCCCACTAGAAGAGGCGACTCAAAGCCGCAGTGATTAATATGTGCCGGCCATTTTAAGAGGCTAGCTCTGATTAATTGTCTTTAAGGTACAATGCTGCCTTTTGGCTGTTTATTTGATTTGTTTTCTGGCAGGCCGTCATTTGAATAAAACATTTTCTCTATTTTTCCTTAGCAGTGTCCGACTGTTGTGTGAGAAGCAGATAAGATAATCATTGGTCCATTGAGGGGTTTGCTGTTATTCCCATAACAGATTGTTGACAGCAGGCTGATGACCCTGAAACTTGACTGAAACAATAAATCATTAGACGCCTTCCTCTGCATGTCGTGGTGATAAATCAAACGCGCCTAAACAAGATATCATCCGTCGCAGCATCTCGGTGGTGTTTCAGACCTCGTAAGTTTAGAGTTTTACCCGATTTATCAGAGGTCACATCGGAAGCCTCCAAGTATTTGGTCATGAAAAAATACTATCAATCACCGCACGAATAAAACCACATTTGTGTACACTACTGTGACTGATGATATGCCCACCAGCTAACCTCAAATGTGGATCAACTTTTAAATGTGAATGATCAAAATCAGACCATGTCAAAAAGTACAAAGTTGCTCTTAATAAACATGCATCGTCATCTTCAGGCTGTGTATTATATGCCAAGGTTAAAAAAAAAAGTTTGATTCTGCCTTTTTCTGTTCTTTTATATAGCAGTAGAACGAGATAGGTTTGACAAAATCCAGCCTTTTCCCCCAGTGGACTCACAAACTGAGCTGATGTCATGTTTAAAACGGATGCCATGTGACAGTTATGTACCAGCTTGAAATTTAGAGTGGAGCAGTTTAAGGCCCTTCCACACCCATCCCCTGTTGAAAAACGTCCCTCTTTCAGCCCCTTGAAAGTACACATCAAACACACAAATACTACAGTAACTGCACCTCATAAAACCAGTTTATTTGTTTGCATTCTCTTTTTTGAATGTTTTTTTTTTTTATATGTTTTTATATGGCAGCATGGTGGATCAATGGTTGGTGAGCACACCCTCCTCACAGTTCTGAAGGTTAAGGTTTGAGTCTTGGTCTTCATGTGTGGAGTCATAAGAATCAGTTTGTTTTTGTTTTGTTTTTGTGACTTTGTCCAGTTTAGCATGAGACTGACTTGTGTGCACCTCTGAGTCTCCTCCGCGAGCGATCAATGTGTCGTCTTGTTACCACTTGACTGAAGCTGACTTTTCCCCAAAAATCTGATGCAGCTTTTCCTGGAAATTGAGTCAGCCCCGGCTTCGAGCAACACGACCTGATTGTCTCAGAGGAGCCATTTACTGAAAAAGATTGAAATGTGGCGCAACATGGACCGAGGGCAGTCGAGTTAAGCCCATTAGGTGTTGCTCTTGATCCAAGGTGCGGGCCCTGCGAGTCTTCCAGCGCGTGAATCAGCCAGCACAATGACCAACGCCAGGGGTCATTAAATCGAGCTAATTTACCTTTCGTTTGGACTCCCAATTGGCCCCTCTATAAATTTAGAGGCAGCCAGCGAGAGCAAATGAATGAATCCTTGTTAGGCCATCATTAGCCTGCTAATTGCTTGAGGAATGTGACGCATACTCAAAGTCAAGGTCAGGGGGAGGGTGCTCATTTGGATGCCATATAGGGAGGCAAGGCTGACGTTACGGCGGAGTTATGAGGTCAGAGATGAATGAAATAGTGTCATTCTGCTGCTTTAAGGCACGTTCGAGCATTTTGATGGAAGGTGTCTGCGATGGACAAGAGAGAAATGACACTTGGCGCGCGTATGTGTGCGCAGCACCGCCATCACTGACCATGCTGGAAAGGTCAAAGGGATCGCATCATGTTTTATTTCCCTGAGATTTAATCAAACACTATTTCGTCACATTCTTGCATCGTCATGGGTATCGATTCTTTTCATTGATCTTTACACATATTCTGCTGACGTATGAAAGGCCCAAGTTCACTAAATACGCCTCTCCCTTGAGCGCTCACACCTTGAGGAGCCGCTATCATAACCTTAGCCTGCTGTGAGGTCCCTGCAGGGAGCTCTCTGATGACCATTAACATATTGCGTGTGAAAGCACAGACAGATGAAATGTTTCAGCAAGCTCCACTCAAGAGTATGCAGATGTATGGTACAAGCAAAGAATGTGTCGCTGGAGTTACTAAAAAAGTCGTGATTGTTTGTTGATTTTGAGCTCTCGTGAACACAAAAAAGCCATTGTTCTGCTGACCGTTGCTTCCCACCAAAAGCTCACTTTCTTCACTTATTGTTCAGAAATGTCTTTTTGATTAGACCAACCCATGCTGTAGCGCTGATTACTAAAGTATGGAAAAAAGGGAGAAACAAACTTTTATTCTGATTAAAGAAAATAATCTTTTTTTCTGTTCTTATAGTGTCACAGATGACAATACAGTCAAACCTCGGTTTTCGTCCATAATCCGTTCCAGAAGGCCGTTCGAAAACCGAAACCACACTCTTTTTAAAATAAAAATGTTTACTGAACACGTCTGCTCACAATGGAAAGCAACACGAGGAAGCGTCACTTCCTCGTGTAAGGAAGGCGAGAGGAGTCAAATGGTGCATTCAAGTGCGCTCAGTTTGTTCGAGAACCGAAATTTGTTCGTCATCCGAGGCATAAAAAAACTCAAAATTTTTGGTTGAAAACCGAATTGGGCGAGAACCGAGACGTTCGAAAACCGAGGTTTGACTGTATTCTGTCGGAAAAAATCAGTCAAAATGCTCTAAAAGGGCTACCAATGAAGGTGTTGAGTACAGTAACAAAGTACTTGTCCTTTTCCACTTCTCACCACTCTTACTTCACTCTAAAAAGATTTTAAAATTGAGCTCCAGATGCCGCATTGGTGATGGTGACGCAATGTCATGTCCATCCTCCAACAGAGAGGTGTGGGTCTGGAGCTGGACAACCGCCTGGACGAGCGTGGTTACTGCTGCCAGTACTGTCATCACGGCTACCGCTTCTGCCGTCGCTACCACGTGCCCCTCGGTGGCTTCAACCCGTGGCCGTACTACTACCGGGGAGGCCACGTCGTCTGCCAGGTGGTGATGCCGTGCAACTGGTGGATCGCCCGCATGCTGGGGAGAGTCTGAGGGGGGTGTTGTTGTTCGCCTTGAATCGTTGCTTTCTTGCATCTTTCATACCACTCGTGAGATGAAAGTGGACCGACCGCCTTTAATTATTTCCAGAGCTGAGTTTTGGCGTGCTTGTCACACTAAATGAGCCCTGGGGCATGTTAAAGGCTTTCTTAAAAGGCGGGCGTCATTGATCATTTCCTTTGCTTCTATTTTGGTGCCTTCCTATGTAATGCATGCTAGCAAGTTTGGACCATGTTAAATATTTGAGGAGAAAGCTTTACATTTTTGTTAAAAAAAATTGCTGCAATGTGTAAATCGTTGCATATAGTATGACAGTAATTCACATGGTGGTTTTCAATAGACGTTTTAATGTCACTTTTTGGGCAAATTACTATGAATAAACCTTTACACATTTTACACGTTTAGTGTTTTTGCCGTTGAACATTTTGACGACAAATACAGATACAATGAAAATAACGAATAAATATATTACAATATGCTAAAATAAAAGCGTTGAAGCTGTGAAGCGTCTTCCTTTATTAATGATACACAGACATACTCCTCAATTATCAATTGTGTCTTCTTAAAGCACAACACCTTTCAATCTGACATAAATGAATTATGTCTAACTAAGAGATTACCTATCCTCAAGTGTATTGACCATTTCAAACAAAGCTAAAGAAACATTTCTCCAAGTTGTCACAGTTGGCTTTTCTTTCTTTCAATAAAAATGTCATTGAATATTAAACGTCACATCGTCTGTCATTAATAAAACAATATGAGCGCCCTCAAAGAGACGAGACGTCCCTCGGGTGCGTTGAGTAAGTAAGTGAGAAAGTAATGCAATCCAGCTCATTCTGCACTGCAAAAAAAAAAAAAAAAAGTATGCTAATCAAGTACTGTATGTGCCTAATGCAAACCAATGCACTAATGTGCTGCATCTTGACCTCAGTGCCTTGTGGTAATGTCATTGATATAAATGCAATTTTCTTGTGGATGAAAAAGAGGGAATGACATATTAGCTCATGCAAATATGTATGGATTGAGCTCAGGCGGCGGCCACCACATTGTTATTTCTAAATCAATAACGTCGATGGCCCGGAGCAACGTGTCGAGTAAAAAGAATAGTGGCGCAATTTAACAAATGCAATAATTGCGAGCATACGTCAAATTTACTGACAAGCATATTGTCCGGGGGAAAAAAATGGAGGCGCTTCGGAAAAGTTCACATAATCAGTTCATTTCTCTATATTTTTACCTTATCACGAGCTTTATTATTATTATTTAAGCCTACTTGTCTGGATGCTGCTACACTCGCAATGTGGAGGAAAAGTGTTTTCTTTTTTTCCTCAAGAAGCCACCACTGTTTGTGCGTGTGTCTCGCAGAATGTCTCGCAGGACTCTTTTGTGTTGTTGAGAGAGTCAATTGTCAAGGAAACCCGAGAGTCTCTTTGAATGCTGAATACTGGTGGATATGTGTATTGAAGGCTGCTCACTGAGCACTCATCACACCAGTTGGGACACCACGTTCAATATTAACCACAAAATGGAAGTTTTAAAAGCAGCTAAATCAAACACAATTCGATTTGATTGTCATTTGAAACTATTTTCACCATAGGTAATGGAAAATAAATAGAACCAGGGTGGCCTTCATAAGAGCTTTGTTAACTGTAAAAAGTAGTATCATTCAAGAGATCCAAACCCGTCTTGTGAAAATAAAACTAATTATTTGTCTGACTTATACACATTCCAGAAAAGAGGTTCACAAAAAAAAAGCTAAATTATATACTGGAGAACTGTACCACCCCCTTCTATTCAAACTCCTGCTTGTGAAGAGTGAAAAAATAAATAAATAAATACATTAATTTATTACTTGTTAGAATCCATTGTTTGTCCACAGTGTCGGCCCTCCCTTTTGTTTTGTCACCTTTTTCAGTGTGGGCTGGGCGCCTCCCTAATCGGTGCACCTGCCTCCCCTACACACCTGCGAGTCTTCAGCTCATCAGCCACTTGCAGCGTAAAAGCCAGCCTGACCAATGTTAAGGTATTATTCCTCTCTGTTAGTTGGATTTGAAAGAAACAAAGAATGTAGAATGTTGTTGGAGGTATTTCCTGCTCACTGTGTTTACGATCACCTTTAGTGCACCTCGACCCCCACCACTTTTAGGGCCCCCCTCCATCGGACATGTTTAACATCAAAAGAGGAACTGTTATCTCAAGTATCTGTGTTCCTGCCATCACACCAAATGGTAGTGATGGGAAAATGAAGCCTCATGAAGCAATGAGGCTTTACATCCAATTGGTTCGTTCCTGGGCCGAAGCATCATGAGGCTTTATTTGTGCTACTGCGCCATCATGTGGAAAATAAATGTCATGACAGACAGTGATTAAAATGATACCATGGATTTGATGTAGAGGTAAAATCGGGCCAAAAAAATCCAGCCCGACCCCGGCCTGCTGGTATTTAAGCCCAACCCGGCCTGAGCCCGACCAATTATCTTGATTTACAGGCCCGAGCCCGAAGCAAACCCGAAATTTCCTATTTCATTTGTGATGACTCGGCAGGAGGAGGGGTGATTTGTGGTAACAAATTAAAGCCTGTCTTTTGTCACGAAATCTAAGTTAAACAAGTCTGTATAATTATTTACATCTTTTAAACATGTATTTCTGTTTCTGCAGAGGGGACATTAACCGACAATTTTCCATCATTGACGGATTTTTTTTTTAAGAGTGGACGGGGTAAATTTAAGGCTGTCCATCATTTTGATGGGTTGAAAATTGGGCCATTCACCACAGCAGCAGTACGTCCTTAAAAATCGAGTGCGGCACTTGAAGATAAGCAGCGAGACAAAGAACAATGACGGCTGGATCATAGAGACATGAAGGAGTTCTTTGAATTGTCATTGCGAGTGTTTCGTACAGTACATGTTGTGATGAGGCCACTTCTGTTTTTTTGGCGAACCCCGGTCTTCTCGTGGCCAAAACTATTCACGGCCTCGTAACGAACAAAAAAAAAGTCAGCGAGAGAGAAGCCAGACCCGACCCGCGGGCTCGGGCGGCCCGATCTTATCTCTAGTCAGTGTCACCTGTCAGCTCATTGTCGTCCCGGTGCGCCGTTTTATTTCGAATCACCCGCGAAACTATTTGTTGGCGGTGATGTCGGAATCCCGTCTCACGAAGCTTCGGGCGGAGCAACGCGCGTTCCGAGGCATCGGGCGTGGCCACAAGCGAAATCGACACATGCCTCGAAGCACGCTTCTCAGATTTTCTTCCGGTTTACTCGGCACACGCATCGGAGCCTCGACACAGTCGGGCACATCACTACCAAATGGTGGGTTGTGGTGGTCTGGTCTCACCTCACCACTCCCAACTTCTTCCAGCCACACCGGGTCAGATGACATTTTACTTTCTTTGTTTCCGGGATTTGCATGAGAGGCGTACCTCCCCGCCTCTCATTATGATATTGTCTCTATATAATCTCAGGAATGTGTGTCTTTTACGCTTCCTGATTCAAATCTGGACCCCTCAGGAGCCCGAATCGATTCGTAAACTGCAGAAAAATAAATTAAACCCTTTGAAGTAACTGTTCATCGCCTCCAGCCTTTATTTGGATTACCAACATTCTCCTCCTCCGAAATTCAACGAACACGCGGGGAAGAGGAGGCCGCTCTTCCCCCAACACCAGCGACCCGTTGCCAATTCGTCAGTGATCTTTCCTGCCGTACTCGCTCCTGCCAAGTCACTACTCTGCAGCATTCCTGTACTCCTCGACTTGGTCATTTTGACTCCCTTTCAGTTCCTGCCACCTAGGCCTGTCCCACTTCCTGGCAATAAAGCCGTTCTGAGTTCATTATGTCTGCGTGTGGGTCCTGTGCTCATTTCTAGCGAAGCCTAACATTACTACATTGACATTCAATTATGTTCCACTTTTAGTTCTATGGTGTGTGCCTTACACTTTATCAATGATTTATTTGACAGCTGAATTTGTATTCCTGTTCAACATCATGGACAGAAAGTGAAGTGAATTGAATGTAGAGCCGCCAGTGACCACGAACACGAGAACTATTACTCAGGCAGCTGGCGCTTGCACTTACACCAGAGACGTTGCTGCTTGTCTTTCTATCGCCCATAAAACGCGTGTCATCACACATGTACTGCACATGCTGACATTCAACAGTCTAATATATTTATTGAATGTGCGTGACGTATTTAGTCCATCTGATTGGCCAGAACATTGACAGAATGTGCACGGTGGTGCAAAGAAAGTGCATTGTCTCTGCCAGCATGTGACAGTGCTGCGCTCCATTGGCGCGATGCGGAGAAGAAGCCCATAGTGGAAGCCGCGGCTGGTTGTGATCTCTTCTATTCACTTGAATTGAGGGAACGGCGTTTGGCGCCACTGAATTCAGAATCAAGATCAGAATCAGAATCTTTTTCTTGAAATTAATGTTGCAGCAGGAACGTCACATGTTCAGTCCAAAGCGAATACCATGAATAGACAATGATTAAAAAAAAGTCGGCAATAGAAGTTAAATATATGAGCAACATCAGAGCTAGTTTCTGAAAAGTAAATAAATTGCACTTGGAATAAATGAAACTTGAAGCCATTTTGTCCTCCTCCGAGGAGCCCTAAACACACAGCCTGAGGGCAAAAGCTGAAACTTTTCTTGGAGTGGATGAGCGAATTATACAAAATAGCATTTACCTTCCTGAGGACCCGTTTAGCCCGGCCTGCTGCCATCATGCTGACAGCAGTTTTAACAAGGCTACAGAGGTGATTCTTTTCAGACAAGTTTCCATTTCCAAACAATAGCGTAGGATAAAACCGATTCAATCCAACTTCTGTAAAAGAGAATCCTCATCTGAGCTGAAACTTGGAAAAAAAATCGCATTTACCTTCAAAAGTACAGTCATTGATGAAACATTTTGGAGGCGACGTCAACAGGAGGTTCCAAGCACAGTTTACTGTTGAGGATCACACCCCGATATTGGTATTCCTCCACCATCTCAACATCGGCACCTTTCGTGACAGCAGGTGGTGGAATAGATGTCGACTTCCTAAAATCAATAATCAGGTCATTGATTTTTGGACACAAATAAAAAATATCCAAATTTGACACAGAATAGCTGGTGAGAAACATCAGAAAAGCAGCTATGACACCAGACACCTACAGGAGGTACATTTGAAATACCAGATAAGTCCATGCAATTTTACATCCATCATATCTATCCATCCAACGCCTCAAGATAATTCTGTGGGGCTCCTTACGCCCTCCTTATCAAGGATCAGGTCAAAAATTAACCTCATGTTGACCTACAGCCCAAGCCTCATGGCAGACCTGATTGCATAAGTAAAAATCAGATAAGCCCACACAGCTTTATATTGTTTTTTTTTTTCATTCCTCCAGCAATATGAAGCTAATCAGTGACATCGCTGCGGTTGAACGCTGCGTTCTTTTTATCTCAAATGAAACCGTTCTTCTCATGCAGCTTGGAAACATCCGTTCTCGAAGCACTGCCACTGTTTGGATGACGGGAGGAAGCGGAATGGATGAGCATCTCTCAGGTGAGTGCTGTTCAAAGGAACTTTGCCTCCCTCCCCCTTATCCCCCTCCCTCAAGGATGGGCCTCTATCATCAAATGAAGCTCTCAAACAATTTAATTCCTTTTGTTACTTATTGAGAAAATGGACTCCCACCCCTCTCCCCCACCACCACCACCACCCCCTTTATTTTCATTTCAAATAATCCTCTCATGCTTGTTGAGACGGAGGTGTTGCCAGGCGAGCAGAGTGTGGAGCAATGCCTGAGCTGGGCCTTTGTATTCACTTGAATGACCTGCAAGGAAACACTCTGCTCTCCTTTTCTCTCCTGTGACAGCGTGTGGTGACAGTGCCATCTTGAGTCAAGAGAGGTGAACACCAATTAATAGCACACTTTCCCCGAATCTAGAGCATCAGTCTGTTACAAATAGGGGCAAGCACATATTGATATGAGTATGTAGCTGAGGAAAAAGTAGCCAAATACCTCCGGTGGGTCAGCAGGTTGCGCAGAAGGTCAGTGTGTGTTACGTGAAGGTATTCGGCTTGCTCCTGGGAACGAAGGGTAAGTGGCCTATGTTAAACCACACAGTCCTCAAGGAGCTTGGACTCTCCGATAGTAGATGCCGTGCCTTTGCCGGACTCGTGAGCCAAAGACTACTTTTGTACTCCTTGGATGAGCTGAAGGGTTTCTTGGTGTGATGTAGTAGTAGTAGTAGTAGTAGTAATAGTAGTAACACTGGTTTGCGGGTGGCAGAGTCGGCGGTGAATGTCGTCAAAGCCTACTATATGCTGACTGGTTGTGTCTCGGGTAAATGGCAATCCCTAAAAAACAAAACAAAAAAAAAAAAAAAAACAATAATAAATCAAAGTCTGAAACAAGAAAGGCAAATAAAAAATGGGATGAGAAGACAATAGGAGCGAAAAAAACAAAGGTTCTGCAAGAAGTGCGGCGACTCTGCTTGACCCTGCACAGGGATATGGTGGGGAGTCGGCCTTGGGCCAAGGCCCTAAAATGGTGCCGCAGCGGGAATCTGGGTAGTGAAGGCCGGTTGAGCGTTTCCATCGACCTCTTAGCTAGGAAGATGGCCTTTCATCCATTTCATGCACAGCACCGAGATTACCACTTACTCGACGGCCGAGCCTAAAATCGCCGAATTGCCGCGTCGGAGGTGTCGCTATGCGGAGCCCCCTCATACACACCCACATGGCGGCACTTTCGGATTTTTTGTTTGTTTGGGGGTTTTTTGTTTTGTTTTTAGGTTTGGAGTGGGCGGAGGATGTGTATGCCCCTAGAAAAGAATTGTCCCTCCACTGCGCACCCCAGTGCAGTAGAATTGTTCCTACACATTCAGAAGCAAAAGAGGAGCAATTGGTAGCAAGCTGACAACGCTTGAGGACCATTAATGTGATATGTTCACAAACTTGATCTTGACATTAAGCAGAAAACAGAGGAATGCCTGTTTTTGAAATATCTTTGTTCCCCATCTGTAAACTTAGTTGTGTCGTTACACATATAGGTACGTTTATTGGCAGTCCCCATTAGTCGCCCTACTACATTGTCAAGATTGAGTACTCGTATGTTTTGCAGGACACTAAATCTCAAGTGGATGACAGACAGCAAATGACTGCCGGGCCATAGTTTGGACAACCTGCCTGAGTTTTTGTTTTTTTTTTTAACCTTTTGTTTCTTTTCCCCTCTGCCTTTGTTACAGGATGTTTTATACGACCAGGCCTCACAGATGGCATATTCTGCCATGTTGCATTTAGCGCGGTGGGTTAAACGAAGATCATCCCTGCACCGCTTCTCACCACACGCTGGAGGCGCCAACATGTCAGCCATCATCCTTCAAGTGCTCCCACAGCAAGGGGCACAGCAGTAAACACTGGAACTGTGTCAGTGGCCGCGGGCAACACCGAAATAGTCACTCCACTCTTTTTTTTTCCACCCCATTGGGACTCGTGCAATCTTATGGCTTTTTGACTCATTAAGTAACGGAATAGTGTTATATTACAGTCATCTTCTCTTATTTGAGTCATCCATAGCAAGCTCACTGTTGGCAGCCGATCGATGCAAGCGTGGTGATGAAATGGAGGCTCGTTTGTTGATGAACGGGTTGATTCTTTTTCCCCGTTTTCCAACAATTGAGATGGAGCTTTCAGCAAAGACGTCCTGCTGCACAGCTGTGCCTGCAGCACGTGGGTGTCGACGCAGTAGGCAAGCCCCAATTCCAGACAGCTTCCTCAGCCAGCACCCACGCACAGCCACCATTCATACTGTAGTAACACACACACGCACACACACGCACGAGCGCGCACGCACGCACACGCACACACACGCGCGCTCTTGGAAAATCTGTCCAAGTTACTCTGCCGCGGTGGTGGTGACAGACTGGGGTGTCTGCAGCTGTGAGTGTGTCACATGTTAACATGCTAATGTATTCATCCACCCACAGTCCACTCGTTCTCAGTTTGTGCTAAAGGGCTCCCATACATTTTGCACCACAAACCGTTTCACATTCATTCTGCCCTCAAACCTGCTTCCTGAAAGGTTGAATTATTCCCAGCACGAAGGGAAGTTGCCGAGATGCTACCGTTAACTCTATCAGCATTTAATGCACGGCAGTGGTTCAATCTGGCGCGTTTGCGATTTTCTCATGGTACCCTTCCGAAGTATAAAACCAACTTTGTCATAGCAGTTTGCAGTGGACAGTGTATGTAGTTAGTAGGGTCAGCCATTGTTTGAATCTGAATGATTCCTGTTTCAATACATTTCAGGTTTGTCCAAACTACAGCCATTCAGTTTTATTGGCTCGAAGCACAGACTAAAATAACATTTGACAAGGCCCGGGTCATTTGCCTACCTTGTACTATGTAGTACTTCTTCTTACCTTATACACCAAGTTGCAAGGCAGGATAACAAGATTTGGTTCTCATTTCTTTCTCCTTCACTAAAAACTTTGTCGCAAAAACTAATTTAGATATTTACACTTAACAACGTGCCAGCGTTTGCAATGAAAAGGTGACGCAGCCTCCAGCGATGGCCTGGGATTGTGGGATATGTTACCATTTTGCACGTCATGCCACCTCCTTTGCACAACAGTATCTATTGTAAGTGGTGCACTGAGGTGACTCTTCATTTAATTGAGCAAAGTTAGGTTCAGCGCCTCATGTATCTGCACGACGCGTGAGTGTGTGCACTTCTTTGCGGGTCTCCTCAAGTTCTTCGGGTCAGCAGATGAAGCACCGAAATGTGGAACCAGACTCTTGAAATGCAAACGATTACGGGACAATAGAAATGTTAGTTCCGCTTTGAATCGATTTTCGAGACTCAATTTATCCTTCTTGGAATGAGACAACAGAAGCAAATGACATGACGCTGTGAGCCCTCACACCTGTTTTGTCTCCAAGTTTAATATTTCTGCGTTTTTTTTTTTTCTTTTTTTGCTGCTGTGTGATTTCTGGACATCTGCTGTGCAACAACACAAGAAAGAAGCCTTGTAAATCAACTCTATACTCAGCATAAAGAAGGCCACTGACAATCAACAGTCACAAACAGTGCTTTAAGGCGAGGGTGCTCTGTAAACAGGATATACGACGTGTATACAGAGCAAATAAACAACAATAACAAAGCAGCAGCATAGACAAGATTTGGATCAGAAAATGTCTCCAGTGTAATGATTGATTGTCATAATTTTGCATATATTTGAACTGTATGGATACATTCAGCTTGTGCCTACAAACAAGACTTGAGTTTGTCACTTCTGCTCTGTGGATCAAGGTCACTGTGTCTGCACGTTTCCGCCGTGACTCAACCCATTCACTCATCGCCTCAGGTTTCGTCAGCATATAGAGAAAGCGCACACTGGACTCGCACGAGAGCAGGAGCCGAGAGGGCATGTGAAAATGTACAAAACAGCACTGGCCCAGAAGAAACTCTGAAAACTGATATATGACTTTTATATACCGATACTGACTGATTATTTTGATACTGATTCTTGAAGGCTTCGAATGCTTGAGAGCTACAGTATGCTTGCTGAACAGAAAGAAAAGAGCGTATACACACACACACACACACACACACACACACACACACACACACAGCAGGATATGTACAACAGCATGTTTGGGGAACGGAAACAATGGAAATAGAAAAGTTGTTTATCTATTTATGGAAAAAATAAAATAAAAGTTTGGTCTTCCTGTACTAAGCGTGTGTATTCTTTGTCTTTTCCCTCATGTAAATAGAGTACAAATGTGCCTTTTTATACAGAATTTAGAAATTCATAAAATAAATAAAATTTGCAGTGGCCTTCGTGGTGAATCTCAAGCATATATCATTTGTATATACAGTGAGAGACCACATGCATATTCCATCTCATATCAACAGGATTTCAGCCTCAAAAACACCAGGCTGATTACAAAATAAAAATTTTATCTAGAATTCTTTCTGTCTTTGTGTCCAGTCTGCACCAAGAATTGTTATTTTCCAAATGCCCTTTTCCACATTTTGGAAGTACTGACATGTTTTGCCTTTTGGTTTTAACAAAAATAAACTAGTTCCGGTGAAAGTCCCAAAAGCAGTCATCAGAATCCTTTTTGCCAGTGAGGGCCTGTACTGATGCACGTTGGTTCCTGGCGTTCCCTCAGCCGGAAAGTCCAATTTCCTTGCACCGTTTTGTATTCAGCCCCCCATGTTTTGGTTTGGACTTAGACAAGCCTCTTTTTTTCACCATTTACAAGTCCACTGAGATTTAAGGCAATAACAGACTAACTGGCACATTTGGCAGACAGGCATCCCTGCTTCATCCAATGGCTGTTCTCCGTAAGGGAGGAGTTTGGTGTGTAAATATCTTTGCACGCCCAAAAACTGAAATGTGACATCTTTAAAAAAAAATACGCAACACTCCCTTGATACATTTCTTTAGGCACATGATCACAAAGAAGTGAGTAAACGATTCAATCCTGAGGCTGAACTTGAGCAACCTTGAGGAGCAACATCTGATCCTGGATCAGACTGCAGCAATGTGGAAGAAAATAAAAACAACCACCGTCAAGTCCACCAATTGGTCCTTGTGTTGGTTTTCAGTTGAGCTTAAAAAGAAGAGGCGGCAGAAAGCATGTCAGGCCTCCGCGGGCTCCGTCTTTATCTGGATAAAGTTTGCGGGCAGCTGCACTGACAGGGGCAGCTCCTGCAGGCTTTTGATGGCCTGCTGGGACTGCAGGGACATCTCCCCTCGCACCTCCAGCTCCTCCACGGGGGTGAGGCCTTCACATGGGCTGCTGCTTTGGGAAGAGAGTCCGTTGAAGGCCGCCTCGCTGGCGAGCTCCAGACCGTGGGTGTGGCTGGTGTCGATGATCACAGTCCGGTACTGCAGCTCCGCCTCGCCGGCGTCCATCTCCTCCTTGGCGAACGTGCTGGCCAGGGAAGGATCGCCGTTGACCATGGACTGGAAGTAGCTGGAGTCCAGCATTTCCTCTTTAACCTGCAGCCCACACAAATCGCCCGATTTCAGCACGGTGGCGATGACCGTGCCGGGCTGCTGCGCCACCATGGTCTGCCCGCAGGTGGTGTTAATTGTGAGCAGGCGGGGGAGGCTCGAGGTGGAGGAAATGGGGACTGTGCAGGTGGCGGAGGAGGACGAGATGGCAGACGCTCCGAAGTTGGTGACGAGCAGCTGCTGGGGGAGGCCCTCCTGCAGGCCGTTGGCCGCCTGGATGCTCAGCACGTCATTGGCTGAGGTGGTGGTGGGGGGCATGGACTGGAGGAGGACGCGAGAGGGGGAGTAGTGAGTGGAGTCCCCGTTGGGGAGAACGGTGGTGAGGGGCAGAGACGGGAGAGAACTATTAGACGTCAAGACAACCGGGAGTGAAGCAGGAGTATTCATGGCCCTGGAAAGAAAAGAGTGAGAACATATTATGGAAAAGTAACTTTTTAATTCTTTTTACAATCAATATAATATTTTGACATAGTGTCATTTTTGGGGGGGGAGAAATTAAAAAAAAATCATTTGATGATGTGGCTGCATCCTCTTATGACTGGGCTCTGACTATTCAGAATGAACTAATCACATTGAAACTTACAATAAATAGAAGTCAGTACATTGCGACAATTACCCCAAATAGAGTTCAGTTGATCTGGTAGGGTTTTCTTGACATTGTTTATGCTTTCTAGTAGAAGCCTGAAGGGATTGTTTTTGTATTTTGAACTGTTCACAATTCCCTCCACTTTGCCTAAGGCCCAAGTTCCAGCTGATGAAAAACAATTCCGAAGCATGACGTTGCTTCCACCATGCTTCACGGTAGGTGCGGTGTTCTTTTGGAGATGAGCAGTCTTGTGCTTCAGCAAACGTAGCTTTTGAATTTGTGGCCAAAAAGTTCACAACCTTGGTTTCGCCGGACCAAAATCTTAACTTCTTCATTACGGTGTTTATTAGAGTTGCCAAAGATAATAGAGTAAACTTGGTATAAAAGGACCTTGTGTCTATGTAGGTTGCATGTGTACCTCAAAGCCTGCGCCATGTCCGCCCCTTGGTTACCCTGCAGTATATGCAGGAGTTGCTCAGCTTGTCCTCCCTGCACTTCCTGCTGCAGACATTGCTCGATGGGCTCTTTCTTCATCTGCTTGACCTGCTGGTGAGCCTTCCCTCTGGAGCCCCCCCGAGCCACAGACCTCCCGCCGGCGGACCTTTGGTTGCCATACCCGTTGTAACCGTCAGACCCCGCGTCATCGTCCTCGATCACCACCAGGTCAGTCGGCATCTCCTTGAACTGGTAGACCAGACGCTGACCTTCCACCTTAGCCAAGATGCCTCGCTGGTAGTAGTATCTGCAGTGAATGAGAGTGTCAATCAGGAGTCATCAACGTGGTGGCAACGATCCCCAGATAGCCCGTAGAGACCACAAGTGAAGCCCGCAGACCTGTTCTACACACAAAATTTTCATCGGGAAATTACCTCTATTTATGTACTATTCTCAGTATACTGTACAAAGAGTCTTGGCATAGACGAGCGGACGCATCCATGTTTGCTTCTTCTCGTGCTGCAATAACCATCGTTGGCAACATGCATGATGCATTGCTGTAAATTGAAAATCAGTTGTATCCCTTGGCAACATAAGGCCGAAAGGTGTTACATATGTAGGCGGAAGATCCACCTCCGCATCCTTGACTATCCAATCGCAAATCTAATAGCGGTTGCATTTCTGAATGATGTGGTTGAAGAAGTCCGAGAACATTGCATTGAGTCAAAAAAATATGTATAACACTTACAGTGTGTACGTTATTTATTGAAAAGGAGCCACTTATTAATGAAGATAAAAAACGGTTCATGTTGGTGTAATCATGTCAAAATAGATGTCCACCTACGTACAAAAGAGTCAACCAATCAGACATGTCAGAAGCAGCCCTGTTTTTTGAGTAGGTCCCGTATCGACAGATTGAACTTTTGCTAAACAAGAACAAGTAAATAAAACACTAAATGGTCAGAATGGCTCTTGACAAAAGGAAGACTGCTAAAGGGAGCATTAGAAAATGTTTGTCATCTGAGCGGAAAGATGTGCGCTCTTCTTCTCGCGTTGTGTAACCAGGCTATGAGAATCACGCAAGCAAGGCAGGTTCCATATCTTTGTTGTTGTTTTGCTTTTTGATCAGACTGACTTGTTGGCTATAACGTGAGCGAGGCAATTAAAAAAATATATTAAAAAAAATCATCAAAAAAAATTTCTAGGAAATGATTCTTGTTTTTTTTCTGTCACATTTCCCCTGCCGTAGGTGTAAAATGAAGTGTGCCAGATACATTTCTCCAACAATGACAATCCCTCTCTTTTTATACCTGAGCGCTCGTCCCATGGTCTCGTAGTTCATGTCGGGCTTGTTCTTGTGTTTGCCCCAAAGCTTGGAGACCGCCTTGGAGTCAACCAACTTGAAGATGCCTTTCTCCCGCTGTGTCCACTTGATGTATTTGGGACAGGTGTTCTTGTCCTGCAGTAAGGCCAGGAGAAATTCCCACAGATAGATGGTGTTTCCTGCAAATAAGGACGGGCAAACAAATTTGTGTTTGCTGCTTTTTATTGAATATTCAAACACACCTGACATTCACAGAATCGAATATTACATGTGGTTGCATGTTCTCCCCGTGCCTTTGAGGGTTTTCTCCCCGTACTCAGGTTTCCTTCCCACATTCCAAAAATAAGCATGGTAGGTTGAATGGACACTCTAAATTTGTGAGGATTGGTTATAAAAAATAAAAAAAAAAATTCACATGAACTATGAACTGAACAAGTTCATTAAAAGAAATGTGTGAACTGCACTTTGAAATAGTTCACGTGGAAAATTAACTTTCCTAACAATGACAACAACATTGTGGAATTCTGGCAAACACGTGTCTGCAAAGTAGCATTGGATTGCAGTAAAATATAGGTCATCAGTCGGCATCCCGCGGCTCCGGAGCCTCATGCGGCTCTTTCATCCTTATAATGCGGCTCTGATTGGCTTGGGAAAATAAATTACTAAAAATTTTTTTTTTGTATTTAATTGAAGTGTGTTTTATTTGTGTTAGTTTTTATATTATTTTAGTTCTAAATTTGAAGATTATTGTGATCTTGAAATATTAAAATATTAATTAAATTATTTGATATTATTTTTTCGTCGCTCAAAATAGACGTCACACTGCGGAAGCTGGTATACCCGCTGAAACGGCGTCTATTTTGAGCGACTTTCAACCCCGGCAAAGCCAATGGAGAAATGTAAGAAAAGAAAAATATCTCAAGAAAATAGAACATTCAATGATGCCTGGGCAGATTCATTTGCATTTACCTCGGGCGAGAGTGGCCTACCAGTATGCCTAATTTGTGGAGAAAAACTGGCTAACAATAAACGGTCAAATGTCGCAAGACATTTTAACAATACACACAGAGCCTTTGCTGAAAAATATCCAGAGGGAGAAGAGAGGAAAAAAGCTGTTTCGGAACTGATGCAGAAGGCTGACCGGACGAAAAATCAATTCAAGAAGTGGGTGAAGTCTGCAAATTCAACTACATATGCAAGCTTTGTGGCCGCATTCAGACATTAGTTATTTTTTCAAGAATTCAAAATGTGTTCATTACATCGGTAAAATTTAATTTTCTCCGTAGCACTTCATAAGACATAACCACACTATAGTTGTTTATACAAAGTGTAAAGGTAAGAAAAAGCAATATATACAGTGTTATCTTCATTTTAGATAAGATAAATGGATATAAGGATGACGCCTCATGGCATTTTTCTGCTTTCGTTTGCTACATGGACAATTTAAATTCAGCTTTTTAATTTATTTGAAAGAGACATTCATTGTTATTATTTTTCAAGAATTCAAAATGTTCAAAATGTGTTCATGAAATGAATAAAATGTAATTTTCTCTGTAGCACGTGGATTTCATAAGAAACATGCTGCGGTAAAGTAGTAGAAGTTTTTTTTTTTTCATTTTAGATGTGCGGCTCCCAGTGTTTTCTTTTCCGTGGAAACCGGGTTCAAATGGCTTTTTCGGTGTCAAAGGTTGCCGACCGCTGATATCGGTTAATCGAAAAAAAAAGCCCAGACTCGACCCTTTTTTCTATTATTCATTCAATAATTTAAGGGTTTACATATACAGGGGTGGGGGTTGGCACTTTTTCAGTTGTATTAGAGAAGGACTGTCTCTGAAGTTGTCCGATTGGAATGTGAGGAAGTTGGTAAATCTGAGTTCAAACCATGGCAAATCAAGACACTGATGAACTGTTTTGCTTATTTTTTACCTTCTCTAAAACACTTACACTCCAAAAGAATAAGCTGCCTGTGTTAACAGAGGGAGAAGAATATACAAAGTGAAGTTAGCAGACTGGTGTCCAAAACACTAATTGGTGTGTTCCTTGACCACTTTGAAGTCGGAAATGTCCCACCTCAAACCAGGAAATGTGTATTCAGGAGAGATCATTAAAATATTACTTTTAAGCCTTTTTTTTTGGGGGGGGGGCTTACTTTGGCTGGGAGGCTTTGAAGCCTGACCTTATGAGGTCTAAGTTCCCAGCGGTCCCAAATGACCATAACCAAAACTGTACTACAATAAATAAAGCTTTTATCATAAAACGTCCATGATTTCATGTTTAAATGTCAACATATTAGAGGGTGATGTCACCCCCGGAGCGGATCTTGTCCAACCTTGTACTGAGTGCATGCGTACGTCTTGGGATGGACTAAATAACAGAAAGGCAGGAAGTCGATTAATCTAATGAGCGGCATGCTTTAACCAGAGATGGTTAAAAAAACATTAATGCTCCCAATAGTCGCCTAAATCCCAGCCGTGGTGACAGGGTGATGTATATGGGCGAGACCAAAATGTGTCACCCTGTGCGGTTCACAGTAGTCTCTTTTAGTGGAGCATCAATGTGCCTGCAAGCATGTCCCTATAGACCCTGAGAAACCCATCATTCACACCCTGGCTGTTTGCACACAGGGTGAACACAGAGAGCGCTTCACCAGAGGGGGAGAGACCTTGATTTTGATTGGCTCATTACAAGGGAGGACCACTTGTTATTGAGGTTTACCTTTGCCCTCTTTGTTCTTCTTCCTCAGTGGTAGGTTCGGGGTGGAGATGGGGGAGCATGAGCGCACCGCCCGGGGCTTCCTCACTGAGAAAAATCACAGAGAGCGATGTGTTAAAAAGAATATGAAATTAGCACAGGCATTGTACTTGCCAATGAACACTTCAAGTCAAGTACAACTTTATTGTCAAATGTGCTGTATGTGCACAAATGAAATTTCTTCCCTCTCAAGACAACATGCAACAAGAGGAGCCGCTGCAGGTGCCCACGCCGCCATCAAAAGAAAAGTTAACAAAAATGACAAAATAATACAAGACAACAAATAAGACACAGACAACCGTGCAATCTGAACCACTTTCCTGCAAACACTTTGTTGTTTGAAGCAGTTATAGATGAAAGAGGAGCGAATCAAAGTGTCCTTTTCACCCGTGGATCAAAGACGTCATGCTGAAATGTGCACACGTCTGCTACAAGCTAAGTTGAAAGCAACAAGAAGCTGTAGCATCCATTAATGAAAAAGAGATTGGCTCTCTTCTCCTGTCCCATGTAAATCCGCTTCAATTCCAAGCTGCGACTCCCAGTTCCACATACACATCGGCGCTCTGCGCTAACGCTCCTTTCTTCTCATCGTCGGCTCCTCGAGCCATACATCCATCCAGCCACTTCATCATCACTTGCCAACAAGCTCACCTTTGTTTTTTTTCTGTGGCTTCAAGGGAGACTTTTGGGGGATCTCATCCATGGATGAGGTGTCCTCATCCAGCGACATGTCAAGGGTGCCGTTCTCCATGTGGTACTCCAGCAGAGTACCATAGTTGTGAACTACACCCCAGCAGAGAACACAAAAAAATAAATTAGAAAACAGAAGAAAAGCCATAAAATCTTAAACAACGTGGTGAAGAGTGGTTGGGGCGTGTGTGATAAAAAACATGGAATGACACTGTCCAGTTCATCTCAAGTGAGGGACTCAAGTTCACTTGACCATATTCACATATAAATCAGACTTCTAGATGTAAAAAATTACTTAAGTGAAATCTTTCAGGGAAAAAAAAAGTTCACAAATCCTAGGAGATTGCTTTTTGGTTGTCTTCTTTTGTCGTGGTGGCAAAGAGGAAAACTGGCCAAAGAACAGGAAGATGCTATCACGGTTTGAAGGCTGACTCTATGTTATATGTTTTATGAGCATTATATTTAGGTAGCGGGTGACTTGATTTTACATGATAATTAAATAAAATGTCAGCCTGAATCAGATTAATTCTATTACAATACATTTCTTAAGGGATTTTTTTTTTTTTCAAAATCTGAATAAACAGCATCCTAGTGGTGCGCTCAACGTTATATAGGCTTTATCGTATTTTGGGTTTCTATTTCGTTAATAGACAGCATGGTAGTAAGTGGTTAGCAGATCTGCCTCACAGTCCAGAGTCTCTAGGTTCAAAGCTCTGTGAATTTTGTATGTTCATTGCATGTTTTTTTTTCATGTACTCTAGCCTCCTGCTGTATTGAAAACTCCAAATTGTCCATATGCGTGAACATGAGAGGAAAGAAAAGTGCTTTAGAAAATGGATAGAGGGATGAACATGAACCACAGAACCTTGCAAACAAGTCTACACTGGGATTCTAGAAGCAGCAAAGCTCCCAACAAAGTCAGTCGTCTTACACATGCGCTTCTCGTCCAATATGTTGTTTGGTGACTCCATGTTGAGCAGAGCCGCGGCGGCCTCATTTGTCTCCATGCTGTCTTCAGTGGCCGAGACCGTTTCTTAAAAGAAAAAAAAAAAAAAAACCATAGGAAAAAGATGCATCACAGGAACCGTGTCCAAAATTTTCTTCGGCGAGTGTGCATCCCACCTTTCACACAAAATCAGTTGATAAAAGCATCAGCCGGGTTTGCAATTTCTAATTAGAGTTCATTTATATATTGTTTTAAATTAGTTTGTATTTTTTTGAGAGTGCTTTGTTTTTGTTTAGGTTTTTCAGCTTTGAGTGTTAGTTTTAGTTCTTTCATATGAGGTACTGTATTTGTCAAGTGCATGACAAAAAAAAAATAGTTAAATATAGTAATGTGTAGTAAAAACATCGCCGGATAGAGGCTGCGAGAAACGTACCGACAGACAGACAGACAGACAGACAGATAGCTAGCTAGCTAGCTAGCTAGATAGATAGAAAAAGGAGAGCACACTGTACCTAGCATATAGCGGTCGACAAAGGAGGAGCCACATCAAACGTGTCTTGCCAACTGACTGGTGCCACGTGCCAGTCAATGCTGTTAAGGCTCTTGTTTGTGGTTAAGGATGACAGAGTCACTTCATTACCATAAGATTATGTGCATTCATACGTAAGTGACTAATTTGAGCCAAGAGTCAAGATGAAATGCCTCTTTGATTTTTGATCTTTTCTGATGTCACAAGTGCAAATTATCAGGCCCGCCCCGAACAGCCAACATTACTCTTGAGTGCTGCCTATGGGCCACTCCATGTCAGATGTAGTTGCGCTCATGCACATTTACTTGTGACTATCATCACAGCAGAGTGACAGAGAGGCGAAATTGTCAAGCACTTCCTCAAAAATTGGAGAACCTGAAATGATACCCAGGTATTCCTCGCAAGACTTCCTCTGAATATTGGCTGTGAAGAGTGGGCCTGATGATTGGCGGTTGTGACATCGGCAAGAGCAAAGGGAACTTTCAACTTGAATGTTTTTGAAAAAAATTGAGCACAACAGCTTAATGAGCGCATGACCTCTCACAATCTAGTTGTATTTTTTCAGTCTGGATTCAAAATAGATAACTCTTTTGAGGTCGCCCATGCAAAGTGACTGTTGGTTTATGAGGTTTGCCCTGCTATGGATTTCAACACTTCAAATATTACTCGACTCCAGCGCTGCCTTTGAACTGATCGATTGTATTACTAGATCGTCTCCAAACATGGATCAGTATGACAGGCTCAGCACTTCCTGGGTGTTAAATTTATATCTCAGGATGGACACGCCGAGTAATCCGTGGCAATAAGTGCTTTCTGATCATTGTAATGTAAATGCCGTATTTATATGGTGCCAATTGGTGACATCATACACAAATATTACATGAGCTTTCACCGTCAAGCCGATGATACCCAACTTTAAAACTAACTAACACATGCAACTGCTGTGATCAGGATGCGGGTCTTGTGGACATTAAACAATGGATGTCCTCTTTTTGCTTCTTAACCCTGAGAAAATTTAGATGTGGATGATTGCCCCTGCGAGACACAGGTGCTTGTTTGAGGACACCACTGAGAGTTTGGATAAAAGTAGTATTACTCAAAGTGTTCTTTGCCAAAATTCTCAGCATTATATTTGACTCAAGTCTCTCCTTTCAAAGGCAGGAAGATAATTAGCAGAACTGCATTTTTTCTTCTCCACGATCTCGCGAATATATGGCCCGTTCTGTCCATCATTTGTTACGTCTTGCTTCTACTATTGTAACGTGCTGCTTTCTGGTCTTCCCATGTCTAGTAATAAAATGCTGCCATCAATACAAAATGCTACAGCAAATCTCTTGACAAAACAAGTACGTCTGATCATACTGCCCCTCTACTGGCCAACGTGCTTGGCTCCCAGTTCACTAGGGATGTGATTTTCAATTTATGTGACTTCAATACAAACTATTACCTTGTTTAGCACCTTCACATATTGCTGACATAGTTGTACGCTATGTTCCATACCCCAAAGCTACGTTCACCACTCGTTTTGTGGTGAACCAGACAGCTAAGAGAAGTCCAATGATTCTAGATGATTGTCTATTCCAGGTCCAGTACTCCAGAATGCCTTACACACATAAATGACTAATTCAGTTGAAATGTTTAATTCTGAAGTTAAGACTTAAGACACTCTGGCATTGAGTCAAACTATATGTAGGCCTGTTTTACTGCCATCGGGCATATTCAAAGTGTGGAGTACCATGTGCTAGGGAGTAAAACAAACAAACAAAAAAAAACAATTTGGATCGGAAAATTGAATTTGATTTCAAAGATGTGAGGGCACCAAATCAAATAGAAATGAATCGTTCCACTTTAAAATACCTGATATGTATCAAATCATATTTTATGGAGGGATTCAGTATTTAATGAAAGGCTATGCCACATTAAGAGGTCCCAACAAGTTAAATCATTTGTAAAATGACAAGAAACTCACAGAGTTGCATCATAACCCACTCAAATTGAGCCGTTACACATTAAAATACAATCCAATCCATCTTATATCGCACTTTCACCATCGTATTGTAAATATTGATTCATCTTTTATTGGTGAGATGCACACCCCTACTAAATCCACTGACTGTATGTTCATGCCAGGACAAGCACAATAGAAAATGGATAGACAGACGTCTCAGATGTCAAATATTCCAACCTGAGAGGTCCACGCCTCCCACTAGGATGGAGGGCGCCTCGGCTATGTGCATGGTGTTGTCCATCATAATGCCGTTGGTCACCTCGTCCGACTCGAGGCCCGAGTACACTTGCAGCAGATCTGTGGCGGGCACCTGCTCCACAATCACAGCGGGGAACACAGACGGGTCGTCCAGCTGTAACAGACACACGCAAACGCAAACACAGACATGAGTAGGAGGCAGAGGGTTGGCTCAATCCAGTCTGCATCGCAAAACGTACATAAAAAGCCCTAGTAGATTAATATCACAACCTGATTTGCTGGTTCGTATTTTTACAGCCGTATAAAATCAAGCTAACACCATATGCAATTTGGGCTAATGGGTAGCAACAGAGGAGAGAAGCTCATTTTGGAGGCACTGCAGTAGTCCGCGGGGAGCCACCCAAAGAAGAAGACAGGCTGCAAAAGTGAGCCTACTTCACCCATACAGTTGCTGGAAAATCAAATTAAACCAGTCCATGTGGATGCTGTAATTGGAAATTTTACACAAAAATGCGCTTTGGGAAACTTTCCTGTGGGGAATCTTTTACTTTTACACGTTGCTTTAGTGTTGATTATTTGTTGTAAAATTCTATTATCAGCACGCCACTTGCAATATTATGGTTGAAATTGTTCAATTGATGTTAATTCCATGTTTATTCACTCGCCAAAACAGTAGGTCGTCTTGTACCATCTAAATCCTACCATTAATTAACACATTATCATGCTTTTTTTTTTTACTCACACTGACTGATTAATCCAACATGTGTGCAATGTCATCCAAGTCAAGTCAAGTACAACTTTATTGTCAAATGTGCTGTAGCACAGATGAAATTTCCTCCCTCTAAAAACAGACAACAAGAGTCAAATATGTAAACATCATACGCATTTCTAATGTTTTGATAACCTTTGTGAGGGTCCAAATGTTGGAAACAAGTCAAGTCAAGTCAACTTTATTGTCAAATATGCTCTATGTGCAACATACAGCATAGATGAAATTTCTTTCCTCTCAACCACAGGAGAGAGAGGAGACGCTACGGGTACCAATACAACTAATTCACTGTATTTCTACTGCAACAGCGACAATAATACATTTTTAACAGGAGTTGACATATATAAATACATTTGTTTGAATTTGTAAATAATAATAACAGATGTATTTTTGTTAAAGTAAAACAGTCAATCTCAAAAGTAACATGAAATTATAGGCTACTCTTAAATGATTGGCAACAAATGTGTAATATTGAATCATATTTTTTTCCTTACAGCGCTTGTTTTGTGTATCCAATGAATGTGTGGGATTTTCCGTCTTTGTCATTGGGGTGTTGTGGGTGTTTTAAGTCAATGCAGTTACGTCACCACTCCACTAGATGACAGCAGAGTACATATCAAGATTACTCTGGTTGCAGCAGCACTGTTGAAGAATTCCCTCACCTCAGGCCATCATCATCATCATCACTCGGCAGTTATTGAAACAATCCTGAGTGTTTTGAATATATATATATTTTTTACATGTCACAAACAAGCATCCTCTGTGTATTAAAGACTTCCGGTCAAATGTACAAAACAAAACACGTTTCCTTCTTCTAATGTAGGACAGTATCAGGATTTGTCTGAATGAGGGTATAATGCGGCGAGGTAGAGGCAATTGCATCAGTGCAGCACATACATTGGGAATATATGCTCGCAGTCCTGCGCTTCATTAAAAGTGCGAAAGGACGGCAAGGGTGCAGTCAGAGAGGAATAAAGGCTTTTCTGTGCTGTGAGACAAGTATCCATTGTTGGCGTGAACCTCTGGGGCATACCAGGTGTTCAGGCCTTATGGGGGAGGGCTGCGCTGATTAGCCACTTTTGGCTACACTTTAACCAGGCCTGCTCACAGAGCAGCTCGTTATTTAACGCCATTGTTAGCCGGCTGATGCTCCAAGTTCACACGTGGGCCAACGTTTGTGAATTCTGCAGCACGATGAGCGACAACAAACACACATTGTGTCATGTGCGCAGAAGAATGTTTGCTTTGACTACAAAAATTATCAGTAGCAAAGTTTCCCATTAATCACTGTCTGATACTATCAGATGTTGCAAGATGGCACGGCAAACAAGCGAGCCTGTCGGTGTCCTTGAAAAAGTCAAGTGTGTTGTGCAGACATTTTGGCTACTGGTCGATTCAACGCCCCCAAACAGCAACTCCTCCTTACTCGACGAATGCGGCACACTTTGCTGACAGAGCTTGCTGTCTCTGCAGATGTGATGATACACTAGCTCAGTGTTTCCCAACATTTACTGAGTCAAGGCACGTATTTTAATTTGAAAAATCTCATGGCACACGACCACATCAAAGTCTTATACACGTAGCACACTGAAATAAGGAGAAATTGTCTTAGCGGTAACATTTAATTTTTCTGTCTCCCACTACATGTCACTGGCGTAGACAGAAACAAAGATGCATTATTTGTATCATTTTGGGACCGACTGGGTAAAACTGGTCATTTTACCACATTCTCACAGCATATACCTGTAATGTGCCATGAATACAAACATACATTTTCATGTCTAAGTGTACTACTTCTGCTTTACTGAGTAGGCTCAAATTTGAAAGGTTATTTCCTCTTTGTCGAGATGCGATTATTGCATTCTCCTGCATTTCCTCATTTTTATCTGTGAAAACTTGACGGGAACCCACTGTCCGCACAAAGTAAGTAGGATCAAAATATTAGAAACAGCTCGCATGCAGTGGTCCCCCACCACTGGTACGTGGACTGGTACCGGCCTGCTGAGAGTTTAAATGAAAAATGTTCTATTTAAGATCGGACTCTGCAACAAGTTAGACCTGTGCCTCTGTAAATCTTGCAAACAGCTCTGTTACAGTAATGAAAAAGTAAGCCCACAAGGTAGCAAAAATGAGGAAAAAAATTGAGCGCTCTTCCTGAAAAGGCAAAATAATGACACAGAAGAAGAAGATCTGACAGCTTTCAAGAAAAAGAAAACCACATTGAAGAGACAATGCAGTGTAAGCAGTCTTACTTAAATGGCCTGGTACAGTATATCATGACAGGTGATTCTGATGGTGCGCCAAACCTGCTCTGCATATGTGGGCTTGCAAAGGGGGCACTGAATGTCTTACTTCCAATTCCAAAATGCTGGGCCCTATTTTCATGGCCAGTGCAAGTCTAGCACAAAGAGTGGTCTAACTGTGCACATGGGTGGAGTTTTCTTTCTTTTAATATTTTCACAGACCCCCGCAGATAGAACTGGCCGTTGGCACCATTGTGGAAGTGACCATAGACAAGTTGATTCCCGGCCAGTCGAAGCAGGTCCTCTTATTCCCTTTAAATTCAGCATAAGAGAGGCGCGTGGTGTACATGGCAGTAGTACACCAGATTTGCATTAGTCCATGCCGGTGATCGGCGCGCATCAAATGTGTTTATAAGGAACTGCAACTCCACTTATGGAGGCTGCAAAGTTGGCCACTGTGAAATTGGAGACAGCCTTCCATCTCCTATTGTGCATCTGTGTGTGACTACCCCAATTCCCCACCACCCACCCCCACCCCACACACACACACATACCCAAAGCTGTGCTACAGTCAAGGGGTGGGGGGTGATTTTAAAAGTATATTAAAGTTAATCTGAAGAAGAAGAATTAATCCAATGAATTGATTTCTACATTGAGTCAGAGGGTTTTATGCAAACAAAGCGGGGCACAGAATCTGTCTGCCTGCACCTTGATCAAATCTACCTAAATTGCGTTACACAACCTGCGCCCCAACTTAGACCTGCTTTTAGCTTGTCTAATGTCTAGTCTTGGTCTACTGGAACATCCAACAAGGCCTTGCATGAGCTTCCAAGAATATAAAAAAATAGTAGCAATAATAACAGCAGAAGTAGTATCGCAGATCTTCAACCATACTATGTAAGATGGCACGTGGCATTAGAATGTTATTTCTTGATTCACCTTTGACCATCGACCAGCAACCGTGGCGCTAATTGTTACGAGTCGCGGTGCTCTGATTTCCCCCATACCTTTATCATAGCCAGTGTAAATGCCGCAGAGATAGTTGTAAGTAAAAGGGTTGTTATTGCAGGGGCTGAGTGGGTGGATGAAATTTGTTCAATAGGGTGGGTGCAGCCAGAAACAAAGCCAGGGGAACAATGCGAGATCTCACGGTAGGATCGTACCACCTACTCGGAACCGGTCGGTCAGGTTGGGCCTGAACAAATGCTCATTGGGGATCCAGTGACAACTCGTCATTCTGGATCCACGCACCCGATGCAGTCAACAGCACACCACTCTACCCAGGAGCCTGCTCCACTGGATCGAGGCGTGGGCGTGGCGACAACCAGACAACTGTTGACGTGGGTCGACCGATGGAAAGATGCATACTGCATCCAGACGCACAAGTAACCTTTGTGCCATAAACATATTTTGTGCTAGCCAGCCGCCGACTCCCTGCTTTTCCTCTCATGCACCCTAACCCCACTGCAGGTTTGTCAGACTTTCCATGTCACTGCCTCCTACTTCTCGAGACGCTCTGACAGCTTCCCAGTGGCCATGCTGTTTTAAGTTTTGCTTGCCCTGCCAGGACATGTCTCACATATATCAACAAGCAGCGTGTCAGTGCAAAAAAGGGCCTCCAGGTCACCTCAAAAGTTTCGACTCGAACTCTGTGTCTCTCCGAAATAGAATAACAACGGAGAGCAGTAAACAACCAGCTAGATTTAAGTGCACTTAAGAATAACACGCAATATAAGAGCATGAACAATCCTAAACACGTCAAATGTGTCAAATAATGTTTTTCTGTAACAATATATCTATATCCTGTTTTGAGGCAAAACATAAGCCTCATTTCGTGAGCATTCAAGTGTAAAACTATCCCTTTCTGGGCCAAATCGCATCATCATGTAATAGTTTAGTGACTGGTTGCCAGTCACTCACATGACAAGTGAACAGTCTGCTTCTACAAAATGCTGCACAGTGGCACCCACAGATGTCCGACAAGGCAGAAAAATGCTAACTAAGACTCAAGCAGTAAAGTAATGCACATTACAAAGTGAGTACCGACAACGAAACAACAGCAAAGTGGAATTCCTAGTTTCACACCTTGGCCCATACGGCGCCCTGCTCTAAAAATAATTTTTGTGGTCATTGTCGAATCCTGTCTGTCTGAGCTAACAATCAAAACTGCCGAAGTTTTTTTGCCCATCACAACCATCAAACCACCACAACCTGATTAATCACTCTGAAATTTATCAAGCAGTGCAAGGAGCATACCTGGTTGATTTCATCCATCCCGTTACTGGCAAATTCAAAAACCAGTTCATTGGGTTGCACAGCGGTGGTCATGGCGGTGGCCACTCTGGCGCTTTCTCGGCACGGACAGCGCCCCTTACAGAGGCCCAAAGCGGACTTTCACAAAGCAAAATGTCTGGCTGTCTCTTTCGAGACCACGAGCTGAGATTCAAAGGATCGGCCTGGCCCTGCTGGAAGCAGCCTGGTCCTGCTCGGGATCCACCTGAAGCATCTACACCTGGAAGACCAGACGAAAAGACAGGATGAGACCGTGGCATTTGTCGACAGACAGCTTGTAATTTCATCTTTTGAGTCACCATTGATATCGCACACACTCTGAAAGAGATGTGGACAGATTAGTTCTGATAGCTACGTTCATACAAATGCACAGCGATAATTTTATGACTAATTTGACCTGCCTCTGACCTTCTTGTGTGGTCACAAATAAAAATCCCAATTCCAGCGTTCTATCTGCCTTCATGAAGACAAAAAATAGTGTATTTTGATTGTTAAGTGTAGTGGTAATAGTAGAAGGAAACCGTTGGGCACCTTTGCACACCACAAGCATGTTAAGGCAGCTTGTTATAGTACCAAGTTATAATCTGTGTAGGAATTGGGGCACAAGGCTAGCAAAAGAAGTACTTTGCTGGCAAAAGACAAAGTTCCACTGTATAAATCAGGATTCATTGGCTTGGTTTTGACCACAAATTGAGGAAATGCAGGACTCTATGGAAAAGCCACAGCTGGTGAAAGAAGTGCTTCCAACTCTGGAGTTGGAATTTGATGGGAACATAAACAGACATATATGATCAGGAACTGAATGGCACGAACTAAGTGTGACATGCTGAGTGCTATGGCGACAAAAGGAGGTGAGGCTGGAGTTCCCCCAGTGCGGCTGTTTTTTTTTTTTTTCCATGACACTTGACTTTTAAAAAGATAACGCTCATGATAATTCACACCCAAAAACTGTTTGTGTTTTTTTTGTTGTTGGTAAAGGTTGATAGCTGATCATTGAGGGGTATTCTTATTCTTATTATTTTAAAAATCAGAATACATGCTGACATTCACCCAAAATGTGGACAAATCTACATGAAAATGGGGCCGTTTTGTTAGAAAAAATAAACAAGAAGGGGTTCTACTGTATAGCAAGTCAAAACGGTCTTAAATTTAGGACGGATTTTGTTTCATCAAAATGTGACATAAGATGCATAAAAATTATTATGCTGGGGAAAGAAGGGGCTTTGAGTGATTTTCGTTTTACCGCTACGCCATGACTGAAATGCTGCTTTGTTTTTGTAAAAGTTGACCACAGTGTCATATTCAGTGTAAAACAAAAAGAAAGGGGGTGGGGGGGGGGGGGTCCTATGCTCTATTTTCTAAATTATTTATTTATAATTTGGCTTGATCAACAGCCAGTCTTGAAGGGTTTCAATTTTTAAAATCCGTTTTGACTTTGCTAATGTTGCCCCAAAATGTGCTATCATCTGTGTCGAACGATGGCAAAAGAAAAGCTTTGCTGGCAAAAGAAAAGTTCTGCTATACAGCTGGACCTTGACAAGGTTTTTCCTTGTTGTCAAACCAAAGTAGACTGTTAATGCAAACATCTGCCTGAAAATGTTTTTTTTTTCTTTGTAATTAACAATACTCTCTTTCTGTTGAAGCTCGTTCATGAACAGCATGTTTTCATCGCATGATCTGCATGAGGCCTGAATGAAGCCCCTCCACATACAAACACCAGGGTCAAAGATCATCCTTGTGATGCTGCGTTGGATACCCTTGGGCTAGTACTGGAGTAGTTGGGGGGAGGGGGGGGGGCGTTATAAGGAGTAAGTTTGCATGAGCGGTTGGGGGTGGGGGGTATAAGTGGTATGTTTGCAGGAGTGTGCCAAAGAGGCTGATACCCACAGGCAGGTTTCAGTGCAGGAGAATGGGCGTGGGTTGAAAAATTAAGAGAGCCCAGGGGCCAAGCATGCTCGCGCACACACACACACACACACACACACACGCCTTGCTTTTCCCGCTGCTGCAGGGCGGGGAATATTTGCTTTGAACTGTCTTTGTGAACATTGCAGGTCCAAGGTGGAGTCACACAAGAGGGGGGGTGAAAAAGGGCAACAGGCATGCAGACAAGAGTAGTTATATGAGGATGGGGAGGGTGGCTGGAGTGGGGATGTAGAGAAGTAGCAGTGATAAAAGGAAGGCCTCTTGTTGTCTGCGCTGACAAATATGCATGTCATCTGGAGCTTTTCCCTGACCGTATCTTGGTCTGGTTACTTGATGTTTCAATGGACCAGTAAAAGGGGGTGAAGCAAGCAAAATAAGCACGACAAAAGACGACATGTCGGTTGAATTAGAAAACATTTGGTTTGGGCTGTAAAAATACACCCAGCAAACAGTTGGCTTATTTCTTGTCAGTCAGTCTTATCATTTTTAAAAACACGGATTCACTTTGTTGATATTGATCCCAAATGTGTAAGAGAAATGTTCGCTTGAAATTCTGCTGTACAGCTTGTCCTGACTGCCATTCTGTTTATAATAAATATTAATTCTGTTGAGTCGGACCAAAAATGTGGGGTAATTTCCGTGCAAAAAAACAAAAAGCTGGTCGTAAAGCTAATTTTGCTGGTGAAAGTACAAGTTCTGCTGTCCAGCTGGTCTTTGACAGGCATATTTTTGTGATTCAGGCTTGTCTTACCCAGCATGTTTGTAATAAATAAAAACAAAATGAAGGTGTAAATCTGAGTTACATATTTTTCCCAAATAGCATTCCTTGAGTCTGCGTGTGTTTGACATCCCGGCATTGATACGGACGGCCCAGTTGGCATGGCGCTCACTCAGGGAGAGGAATCCATTAGCGAGAGGCAGGCTGAGCATTATCCTGCGCGCATGACAACAGCTGCCGTGTCCTGACGAAGAGGCCAAACTGCCGTGTCATGAAGAGACGAGGAAAAGGGGGAGGAGGCCAAAGGGAGGAGTCGCGCCAGGATGTTCGTCAACACATAATAGCTCACTAAGTCAATAGGGTGGTGGGACCCGAGGGTTTTAGAAGCGTGATTACAGAAGCAGATGACACGGAAGCGTCCGAGCATGTCATCTGGAATGTGGACCCAGCTGAACACAAACTCCAAATGATGTTGCTCAAAACCTAATAACAGGCAGATGCCATGTCTCTTAATCGATGAACAGGTGGCTGATCGAATAAATTGATTGTTCATGCAGCGCAGTGAGCAAGCAGGGGATTTGGGTGGGTTTCTGTTTGTTTGCAGCATTACATGACAAGCCATTTGGATCAAACTGTGTGGAAGGATGGCACCTGTCACGCAGCAACCCAGTACAGCTGACATTTGGAAATGATGGTGCAACTGGAATATTTACATTTCATTACATAATGTTTTATTTTTCGAATAAGATTTTTTAAATACAGTTTTAGGCTTCCTTTAGGCTTTCAATAGATTTTATTGTTCATTCATTCATTTATTTTATTATTAGGATTCTTAATTATTTGAACTTATACTGTGTTCTATTCATCCGATTAATGAATTATTTATATGAATTATTTTATCAGATTATTGGATGATGCTTTTTCATCTGAGATTTTTAAGGTTTGTTGTTTATTTGTATTTAAATTAAAATGTGAATTTATTTACTCACTTAAATAAAGGCATTGTTATTATTTGTGCTATTTTTTAAAACAATTTTATTAGGCTTCTTGATTGTTATAATCTCTTTATGCTGTTTTATTTTAAAGATTCATTATTTGGCTGAAATTTTAGTATCCAGTGAACCCTCGCTCTAACGCGGTTCACCTTCCACGGCTTTGCTGTTTCACGGATTTTTTTGGGCAGTTTTTTTTAATGTTTTTAAACAGTGAATTGCGTTCAGCATCCTGATTGGCTAAGGCACTGACCAACGTGAACAGTCTCCCCACCTCGTCTTTGTACATACCTACCCCACAATGTCGACGAAACGTTCTGCACCGGCAAAGGCACCTGAGGACGCGCTCAAGCAATATTTTTTTACAGTACAGTATTTCCAAAAACTATTATAGTTATTTGTTGAAAATGTTTGCTTTTTTTGTGCTTGGGCCTGAAAACAGGTTTTGGTCTTTGGTTTCATTGTATACATAGTTCAGTATTGTATAAGAACTCTAAAAAATAAAGCTCACTACTTCACGGATTTCACCTATCACTGGTTCTTTTTGGAATGTAACCCCCGCGATAAACGAGGGATTACTGTATATTTATTTTTCCAATGGGTTTTATATAATATTAGGTTTGTTATTTCTAAAGCTAAAAAAGCTGGTGAAAATGTCCTTTTTAATTTTTTGTTTTTAATTTGACTTCATGGCTTCACAACAATAGGTCATTTGGTGACTCATCCTAGTCAGAGCGTAGCAGAAAAAGATGCCCGCCTTTATTGTTATGATCTGTGCTAAACTGAGGGATTCAAGGAGTATTTATTTATTTTTTATTGAAATGTTTAAACTCATCTGCAAATCCTCTTTTCTAGGGGGTTCCAACCTACATGACAAACCGCAGTAAACGTCAAAAAATGTGTTTGTATTTCCTGCAACTTTCTTTTTCATTGTTTCAGATGAGTGGAACTTCTTTTGAGAAAAGATTGACCAATCGAAAGCCTTGAAAATGGCTTGCTCTCTTTGATGATGCCGTGTTAACGTTTGAACAAACATGCTGGTTGTTTTTTTTTTTTTTGTGCACTCTTAAACGTGATGATTTTGGAGGCCCAATGCCAGGGCCATGCAACCTAATTAGTGTCCATTAGTCCAGCCTTTGGCTCACAAGTCCGCAAGTCCAATGTGTTCCATATACCGTAAGGGCACAAGGAACATTGATTAAGTTTGCCTTGTTTGTAATGACTGTTGATTGGCAGGTTCTTTAGTCAAGATTATCAGTTGTTGCGGTGCTATAAATAGACCAAAATCTCATCAGCTGCTGGTGGTGTAAACTTCCCATCACAGATAGGCACACAGGACTGATAGCCTGCAGCAAATTTAATTAAACGCAGCGCTGATTTAACGGACGCAAACATCAGGCCATCGTAGAAATTGTTCCAATCTGTTTGACACTAATGTTAATCTACAAAAGTGAGCAGGCTTGTTTGGGGTGAATCGATTGTTTCTAGGACTTTTTAGGGAGTTGTGATGTGGAGTCTGGCGGCATATGCAACACACAGCAGTTCAGCTCCACCCTGAACAGCGTGACGACTGTTGTTGCCAGTTGCAATAACAACCAATTAGAGTCAGGATACATGAACAAATGGAGCGTTCCCAGAAGGCCATACACACACACACACACACACACACACACTTTTTTTTTTTTGCTTTATTCTCCTCAGCTGAGCTCATTGTTGACCATGAAAGGAGGCAATTTAAGACAGCAGAATGACTGCGCAGTGACTCACTCTTCATGTGGCGAGTGCAAACATTGTGGGATGCGAGACTGAACGACCGAGGCAGGCAAATCTTGACTTATCAGCCACTTTCAGCTCAGGTTACAGGGGAAAAAAAATGAGATGATTTTCTCCCAGCCTTCATTTTCAAAGCGATGGAGATATGAGACAAAAGGCTATTCTTTGGTGTTTAATTTTTTTTCCCCTCACAGGTTAGAGACTCAACATCTGCATTGGAAGTAGCCTGAAGAGGATTTAACTCATAGCCAAGTTAGAAAAGCACAGTTTATGGTGCTTAACTTTACCACCAAATAATGATTCGTCTTGGAGTCATTGCAGTATATCATGGAGTGTTATGACTATTTCAGTATCAGTGCTTGTCTTAATGGCAGCACATGATGTTTTATGTTGAGAGGGAAGAAATTTCATCTGTGCTGTGCACATTTGACAATAAAGTTGTATTCAATTCAATTCAATTCAATGATTCACTGTCTTAGAAATTACAGTGTTTGTTTTAGAAGCAGGTGTGAACTGAAGCCTATATCCCATCTGACTTCGGACGGGTACACCCTTGACTGGTCGCCAGGCAAACATAAGCAACACCCATCACACTCACGTTCACACCAACAGAGCTGTATGAGTTGTTCATGAACATGCGTGTTTTGGGGTGTGGGAGGAGGATACCAGATTCCGCAGAAAAAAAAAAAAACATTTCCAATTTCCACGCAAGACAGTCCAAGTCTGAATTTAAACCCTCAAAGTGAGAGTTGTGCCGGTTGTGCTAACCATTGTGCGATAGATGATGCACCAGTAACTTGGCTTTACATAATCAGGATTTTGAAGCCGATCACCGACTATGGTGTGTGTGTGTGTGTGTGTGTGTGTGTGTGTGTGTGTGTGTGTGTGTGTGTGTGTGTGTGTGTGTGTGTGTGTAGATGTATATCCACTCATGCTAAGTTGTAGTAGCTAGTGGTAACTAACAACCCCATCGCCCCCCTAAAATTAGCACATAGCATATAACGCAGAAACACTGGAGTATTTGGTGCAAAATGAATAGCACCACTGTCTCCAGCGCGAAAAACAACTGATTTAAAAAATATCAATGTCAATCTTGTTTATTTTTTCCATGCAGACCAGTGACGATGGCAACACAGAACGCCCATGGAGTGAACGAGATTGCGTATGCTGTATTGTTTTATTTTGCTGATCTGCTCAATGATGTCAAAGACTGACTCTCAAATTATGACAATACAGCGATCACCGATTTTGCAGAAATAAATGCAAAACATCTCCTGATCTGATCCAGCTCATTAGATTTGTCGAAAATCTACTTGTAACTATTCCAGTATAGCATAGTTGGTCTTTAAATTGACAATTCCAGCAGAAATATTTGTTTTAGAGGTACTGCAGAACAGCACAGGAGTAATATCCTTGCATTTGTTGCACCGTTGTTTGTTTAGAAAGGTTTGCAGCAGATCACACACCGCCGGGGAACTTCTTAGGCATCACAACATACCATGCACTGTCTTGACTATTCCATCATCGTTGATTGTTTTAAGAGTCAATGCAAAATAGTAGGAACTATTAAACAGTAAATCCATTATCACATACATACTGGAAATTATAATTGTTCATTAAGCAGGCATCACAGCAGATCACGCATTATTTTGACTATTCCAGCATGACTGTTCGATTTGAAGGTATCACAGCATGTCAGGCACTATCATGAGTATTATATATTGTTACATCACTGGTTCGTTGGGATGCATAATGATAACAACGTGCACTGTCGTCGCTATTCCAGTGTTATTATTCGTCCTCACAGCATATCATGCGCTACCACGAGTCTGCTTCCAGTAAACTCAAAAACTGATACAAAGATGAAGTATACCATCCACCAGATGGTGAGCATGTCCGTTTCTTAAAAAAAAACACACACACACAAAAAACAAAAAAAAGGCCTGTCAAGATAAGCTTGAGATCACTTGAGCCAACAATTAAAACAAGAGAAACAGCAATATTCTGTGCATTATCTGTCAATGTGGTTCACTGAAAAATGATGGGATGCCACTGTTAAGCATTGCTCACCGCATGAGTTGTCAAGCTGACACTGAGAGTAATTCAATGGTTTGGCCAAACTGTGGTAGTACACTCCCTTTGAGTTTATTCTGAAGTCTGCTTCAATGGGACAAAGCCAACAATGTGATTTTTTTTTTTCACTGCTGTCCTATAAAGACACTGACTGACGCATGCGGCTGTCATACCGTACATCACCCAGACACTCTACCAACACAGAAAAACATTTCCACGAAAGGAAAAAAAAAACTTTCCTAAAGTATGCTAGCAGAAAGCATGTGGGCTTTTCACCACATGTTATTGAACATTGTCAGCACAGGCGCTGTTTTCGCAGGATCTGCCGAGTTCCTGTCAAGGAAATGACTCAATGATATGACGCTCACTGCTGGAGCCCGGCGATAGCCAGCGTGGGTAGTGTGGGATGGAGATCATCAGTCTTTGGACAGCGGTTCCCCGCTCTTTTTCTTTTTTGGCAGCTTGTATTCACTTGTCACCAAACTATGCAACAAGTAACGAGCGTCAGGGAAAATTCCGGTGCTCTCTTGGGCAAAGCATGACTCAACTCATGAATGAAAACATGACGTTACATCAAATCCAGATCACAAGCCTTCACATGAAACAGACTGTTATCTGGTTCTCTCAAGAATATCTTTCATTACATTTTAGCCTCATGTCCATTCGTCCATCCATTTTCTGTACACACTCACTGGGGTTGCGGGGTAGCTGGAGGCTATGAGGCATGCAGGGAGAAACCAACAATTATTGACACACATATTCACTCCTACCGACAATTTGTCGGCCTCAAATACCCAACATGCATGTTTTTGGAATGTGGGAGGTAACTGGGGTACTGGGAGAAAAATTCAGGATTGTGAGGTAGATGGGCTAGGCACATGTCTACCATGCCGCCATTGCATGATGTCTAAAAACAAACAAAAATGTACTTCCTTGGCAGAGGTAAGAACTCAAAAGCAAAACCTACTTATTAAGATTGAAGGGATATACTTTTTCAAAGTTAATAAAAGATGCGCCCCAAAGACTGAACCTGATTTATCACTGGTTTTTCCTTTACAAGTGCCCCATCACGCCACATAAATAGTTTTTACAAGAACCAGTTTGCAAATGACTGCAAACCAAATGTTTGCCTAAATACAGATCAAAGACGTCCACTGAGTGGCATGGTATTGCCTAAGTGAAGCGGATAAAATACCTTGCACAAGATTAAAACTGTTGCCGGTGCAAATCGAACAACTCACGCGAGATTTGGTCTGGTGTTTGGTCTGAATGCAGCAGAAGGCTAACTTGTCAAACCACAACATGTCAAGCCATTCAAACTGCAAATCGCAATCGAGTGCTGTAAAGGGCTTGCAATACTATGGCAGCGGGCCGTATGGCTGCGCTGATGGCGAGCTGCACCTCCAGAAGCCTAATGGCATCTCATGAACAGCAGCGGGCCCATGAAAGACTCGTGTCAGAGGGCATTCGAGGCCGTCGCGCTGTACCAGGGCCAAAAAGACGAGTGGAATTTAATCTCATCTCCTGCGAACCTTGTAC